AGGAAAACAGAAGGTCAGCAGCTATGGGAAGCTGTAGATGGATTTAAGGTATAGACTGATGGCTGGGGACAAGGAGGATGGAGAGTAACGACGTAGCTGATGAGGGACTCAATGTAGTGCAGACCTAATTAAGTTAAAAATGCATCTAATTACAGGAAGATTGTCTTTGCTGCTTTTATGCAACATACGCATTTCCAGTATTTTATCATACCTGGTCTATTTACAGTTTCATTTCTATATGTCCAGCGTTTGGTAAACTGAACTGTTTATATTGTTTCAAAAAGCCAGCAGACTAACATTGGTGAACCTGAAAAACTGCCAGTCTTGAATGAATACAAGGGGATAATTGAACTTCTTCACAGCAATTGTCTGTTTTTAGGCTTCTAATTTGTTCTTGTTTTTCATTTGTAGTTTTAGGGGGTAGTGCTTTGAAGCATCACTTGGTGTGGCTGAGTCTTGTATAGCTACTTGTGGTGCTGGAGTCTTGCAGCCATCTTCTGTATGACATTAGCTGCAAGGTTATAATCTCTTTTAAATCACAAGCAGTAGGAACTCTAGTATCAGGATAACGGCAGTTAAATAATTTGCAATTTAGTAGACCCAGCAGTGGCAATTTTAGTGATGGAGCTTCTATAAAATACTTCAAAACTGTGGAAGGGGCAGTGAGAGTGGGAAAGCAAAGTAAGCTGCTGGGCTTTCTGCAAAAAGGAAACGATTTTCTTTAAGCCTCTTCCCTACCTCTTTCTCCCCCTAAAAAGGCAACATGGGGTGGCTGTTGTCATTGGCCTTTCTGATGGCTGCAAATACTCCCTCAAGGTCAGCATCCGTCTCTGGTATCCCTACCTACTCCTATGTTGGTTATGGCAAGCATGTGCAGAGCTGTTGGCAATAAAACAGTGACACTGAGGCCTGTTTGCACATTGGTGCCTTCATTGCCATGTTATATGCTACTGTTTTCAAGTATAGAAAATAATAGAGATATACTGATGGGCAACACCAGTTATTCTCTGTTGGCTTTTTCCCTGTTGGCTAAATGAGCTATGAAACAAGAACATCCCCGTGCTCCAATGGGCTGAGAGGGACTTGCAGCACAGAGAACCCCTGGGCCAGAATATCACCCAAGCTGCACGCTAGTAAAACTCTTGCTATCCCAGGACAACCTGGCCTCTTAAGAGCTTGCAAAGCACCTGCAGCCTTACAAGCTTCCTGGAAAGGAAATCCCCTTTCCAGTTCTGAAATGAACCCCAAAATGGAGAAATCATAGGAAGCTACCTGCGTAACGTTTTTTGAGTTTGATAGTCTGCTGCTGACTGCTCCCACATGCACTGCATGGGCTTTGCGTGAAGGAGTCGGTGCAGAAAATTGCTCTGACGATTGAAACGCAAGTTCTGGTTTCTCTCCCAAGACTGCACTGAGCTGCTGAACTGTATTTGAAATAGTTTTCTGGCCACTCTTTAGCAAATCTCTTTTGACGTGTTCATAGCTCAATTACTATATATTTTGATTGGAAATTAGATGATAAAAATCAATAAAACATGTATTAAAATTGCTTTGAACCTTTCACTTGAGAATGGGTATCTATTGATAGGTTCGAAAATTTTCCACACGCAGAATCTTACTGTTTTCTTTTTGGTAATATACCATGAAACTTAATGTGAAAGAAATAGCTCTTAAAAATGTGCAGAATCTTACTGTTTTCTTTTTGATAATATACCAGGAAACTTAAAAAATGTGAAAGAAATAGCTCTTAAAAATGAGAAATGGTTTTCCTTTGCTTTTTCTATATGCTGTCCTTATTCTTATTTCACATTTTTTTTTAACTTGTTACAGTCTTGAGAGAGGCTTTTCAAGTTATGTAAATTGCATTTGGATGCTTGTTTTGGTCTTTGGAGAGCTCATATTTGTCCCACCTCCTCGGTGCTTGGCCCGGTTTTATCCATGCTGCACTGTAGGATACTGGACACGCCGGTTGCTCTTGCTCTCCCTCGCTCATGTTGAGTGCGTTGGGAGGGTTGACCTGGAACTTCAACTGGACTGTGCCATAGGGCTGGCAAAACATTTTTGTCTCGGACTATATGCTGGCCTTGACTTGGGTATACATGCACATGCAAACACCTTTCCATGTGTGTGCTTAAACATTCTCTTAAAACGCATGCCCTTAAGTAGTGCACCTTCAACTGCCAACGATAGCTCACTCAGAGTTCGTAACTCATTCCATGCAAAAGCACAGAGATAACTCCCAATTCCCTTCGGAATATCCCAGTCTTGGTAAGCAGCCATCTCTACAGCAGTCGTTTTGGAGCATGTTTATTCTAATTCTCATGAAAATATACTGGCATTTGTATTAAAGAGTGTCGTTATAAAGTATTAAGTTAAAATTACTAATCATACTAAGTGTTAAGTAATCATTGCAAGATAACTGTTCAGTCATTAAAATACTTTTAAAAGTTTTTTTTGGCCTTAATATAAAAATGCTGCTGTATTACATATGGTTTTTATATTTTTGCCTCCAGAGTTTTCAGGAATTTCTTCCATCATGCTTTATCCATTTGGGGACTTTCATTAAAAAAAAAAAAAACTCGTTTGCATATAATTTATTCATTCTAGTATCATCTGTGTAGATTTACTAATATATCATTTTTTGCATTTAATCTTATTACTAGCTTATCTTTTCCATAGCTATTCCAGTTTTCTCACAGTGTACTTACAGTGTAATTTTTCTTATTGGCTTGGGGATTTTAACACATGCCATGTAGACTTGCATCTGCCTGTCCAAGGGAAAACACATAGGTAGATCATTCACTTATTTGTGGTGCCGAATCCTGTGGGAAATGTTGCATTGGAAGTGTGCTAGAATGGGACACAGCTTGCTTTGAACAGAAATAAAAACTTAAATAGGGAATAAGTCAGTAAGTTATCAATCGGGACTTTTCCTGTGCTCCTTACCAGATTGTTTCTACTGTTACCCATCTTGTGCTTCTCTAGCTATTTCTTGTACGTGGGAATAAATCTTAGTTTAAATTTATTTCACTGAGGAGAAAATGTAATTGAAACACATTGGGATCAATACAAACTATATAAGAAGCTATGAATTGTTTTTCTAGCTCACTAGGTACTAGGATGGAGGTATTGGTATCTCATGAAATACTAGAATAATTTTCTTTTGGTAAGTGTTTCATCATGGAAAGAAAAACACGTTTAGTGTTTCTTTCCTGCCCTTTATTCAGTTCTGTTTGAAGAAGTTTTTTGACCCTTTTTTGTTTTTGTTGACTCAGTTTTTAATTAAAAATACTAATCATAGCCATGGTCTTTGCATTACTTGTGCACAGAGCAGTAATGTGAGCATGGTTTTGAGTACACACCTGCAGAAAGGCATCCTTTTCAGACTTAATAAATGAGGGCTGGATCTGTGCAGACATCTCCAGCAGGTCACTAGCGCACGCACGACGGGCTTCTGGGATCACTCAATCATTTCTTGAGAATCTATTGCAATTTCTCTAAGGCTCATTTCTCAGGACAGCTAGTTTGGGGTACTTCTCTTGCATTATAAATGCAAAACATTTATGGTCTAATGTTTCATAACCTTTGATACTGCAAGATCTTTTACCGTTCTTGCTTTTTTACTCCTATTTTTAGAATATAAGTGTGTTAAGTAAATAAGTGCATTCAAGTTTACTATTTAGTTGGCACCATTCCCTAGAATTTCAGCGTTTCATGTGGAACCCTTTTCTGTGGTTTCCTCCTTTGGAAGGTGGATGGCTCGCCCCCGCGCAGCCAGCTCTGATGTGGGGTTCGGGCTGACTTGCTGCATCCTTTTGCCTGCACGTGTGTGTGCACAGAAAATGGTTCAAGTTTCATTATAATGCATGCTGAAGAGCGATCCGTGCAGGTTCCTTTTGCAATTTGGGTCCTGCAAAGATGTGTAGTGCATGAGTGTATGTGTGCAAGTGCACACAGGTCCAAAATGGGAAGCAAAATTGTGTGGGGCTGCCCAGCTCTGAGAGCCTGGACCTGGCATTTGGTGACACAAGACATTCAAAACCAAGTGCATGCACAGTGGTAACTGACATGCCAACATTGAAAAAATTAGATCTGAGTACTCTGATTACTTTTTGGTTGCACATACATAAATGCTCAGTGTGATTAAATAAAAATCAGAAAGAATCACTTATATAGTGAAAATCCTCAGAACTATAAAGGATCTAAAACAAGATCTTAGAGAGGATGTTGTGTCTCCACACTGGAGAACGACTGTGCTGAGCCCTGCAGGAATCGCATCTTTCTAGCACTGTGCAGGAACAGGGACTCTGTTACGTTTTCTTTCCTAGATAGTAGTAAGGAAGGCTGCTACAGAGATTTCCAAATATTATCACTAAGAGGAAAAAGCACTGCAGCTGTTCATCTCCTTTTTAGCTGTTGAAGAGATAGAAGATGAATCTGTAAATACTGCTTCTGCTGCAGCAAAAAGATCATGTTGTGATTAGGCACTGTATCTCATGTATATTTTTATAATCTTTTATATCTGACATGTTATCTGTAAGTTCCTTTTTATTTCCATTGCCTGCAATCAAGAATTAGTAAGTTCTTGATTTAAGTAGAAATTAGGCACTTCTCATTTAAATTAGAGGAAGATTTGGAAAAGTCTCTTGCATCCAAAATAATGTCCTGAATGTTGAAGAACTTGGTTTTGTTTCATTTAAAAGTCAGTAAGCTGCATGGTGCTGAGCATTTCTAGAAAAAAAATGATCTTCATTTTCTTTCTGATTTATTAAAAAGGAATTGAATTCTTTTGAATATTTTGTGCTGATCATGGCTGCTGAGAGCTTATTTATGTTTTATCTTGTTTTTAATAAAAGTATCGCAGTAGATAGCATGGAGTGACAACAAATTACATAATTCTCAAACAATACCGTTTTGTTATTGTGTTAGAAGAAACACTTGAATTTAAAAATGCTATCGATGATTCCAAAAAAATAAATTTCTTATTTTCTTTTTTTCAGCGTCTTGTCGAAGCTGCAGAAGATGCGTACTTGAAGCACGAGTTTGATGCTGACTTGCAGGTAATTAGTAGTTATTTTTTTAAATGTTTATCGTTAAGGTGTATTGTAAAGGTTTATACAATAGCTTACTTGAACAACTGCTGTAGAAAGCCAAGCATGTGAGTAATAGAGGATGCTGATTACAGCAAATAGAATTAATGAAGCCTGGCTCAGTATTTTGGCAGCTTATACATTCAGTGTTTGTGTTTTGGGAGACTTAGCAGGTGGATTTTCCTCTTTTAGAGGTTTCATTTAAATTCCCTGCCTGTCTGCTTAGGTCAAGATTTTTAAACACAATAATTAGCAGCGTGTTTCATCATTGCAGTGTCCTGGCAAGGAATTGTTCTACAGAGAGTTGAATTTGCAGATGGGGTGGGAAGCCACAGGGCTCCGCATGACCTTGCTTTGTGCGTGCAATTCGCGTCTGGTTCGGTGACTAGAGCAGATCCCTGTTCTTCCCTTATCTTGGAGCCCCTAGAGCTGTGCCATTATTGCCTAAAATGTCACTTTTAGGAGTAACGGGGGAGGGTGGCTCCATACCATTAAGATGTTTAAGAGAAAAATCTTGGAGAATATATATATATATATTTAACAATAGAGGTCTAGTGAAAGTGTTGCTCATTACTTAAATGTGCATTAAAGGCATGAATGACTTCTGTGCCTTTAATAAATTATTGTGTTTTTAGTTTCTTGAATGCCCTGTTAGGTAGAGTTGTATTTATTTTGACTCTAGCTATCTAAATCTAATGCATCTAATCTTCAAGCTTGCTGTGACAATTAGTCGCCTCTGCTTAAATTATGAACTTAAATGTCCTGGAAAACAGGCTTCTGTTTCAATTGACGACTTTCAATACATTTTTTAAGGAATATATGGAATTGTAAGATCTGTTTACAGAATTTACCGTAGTTACTTTCAATAACCAAAAAATGCTTTCTTTTAGTGAAAAGATGATGCAAATAACTGTGCTCTTTGCAGAAAAAGAAAAACCTGGATGACATTTCCAGGGCCTGGGATGAAAAACTGTTTAGAAGACAGAGATATTGTGTGCAGTGCATGTTGGAGGAAGGATGAAATGAGAGCATTGACATTGTTGTTCATACTATTGTTGTAGGCAGTGAGTGCTGGCTTGGTATTCAAATGCTTTAGAGCTCTGTTGCGCCTCAGCCTTTTAGAGATGTGCTGTGTTTCATTTTTTTGAACTTTGTACTTTGAAGAAATAGGAGCCATTGTCTGAATAAATCAGAAAAATGCTCATAGAAAATTTTTTGAAGGTCTGGAGTAAGCGCAGCTTCACTGCAGGATAGTTCTCTTTTTGACAAAGTCCTTCACTTGCTGAGGCTTTGAAGATATTAACACTTTCAGGAAGCCAGTTAAAAGCCATTTGTGTCAGCAGCATTAACAGACAATCAAATCTTTGTGTAGAGCTCTGTTGTTTATTACTGTCACGGTCCATTAAAGCTAATCAATTGTTAATCTTGGTTGGAGCGACCCCTTTGCAACCCTCGCTGGGTGATTGTTGTTCTTTATCAAAAATCTCATCGTACCATCTGCTCAGCGTAAAATAATGGCCAGAATGATTTGATGGTGTACATGGAAGTGGAGGACGACAGAAGGCGTTTATAATATACAGCTGATATAGTTCTGCTATCGGAGAAGAGTTTCTTTTGACATGGCCTAGGATTAATGGAATACAGGGCTGTTTTGCACTCATTTTGCTCAGATATCCTCAAAATAGGAAGCAGATAAACAGCAAAAAATCAGTTTCTTTATTGCTCCAGCATCACCTCTTATGTCCTGAGGATAATAGATAATATTGTGGCAGTACATAAAAATGATATGAGAGAAATAAAATTATATTAATATTTTTATTGACATGAAAAAAATACTGACTTAAAGTTACTGCAAGTGTTCATCTGTTAGATTGTTAACATTCTCTTTAAGTAGTGCTAAAATTATATTTTTCAGTTAGGTCAGACTTGGTCCCTTCTGGGTATTTCTTTCAGTAACGTTTTTGTTTTCATCCTTAGTTTTTCTATAGGCATTCTGATCGATATACTGTTGTACTGCATAATGATCTAAGCAGTCGAGCATCTATCCTTGGCAATGAATCTATTGGCATCATCACCAAAAACCTTGTAGTTATAAACATAAATAAAACTGCATGTGAATTGAGGGAAATAAATCAAAATAGTTGATATAATGTTTAACTCATCAGCATTATATATTGCAAGCTTGAGTAATGGCCAGACTCAGAATTGGAGAGCTCTGCTGTTAGAGCCTTAACTCATTGTATGTGGGCTCAACCTTTGTTTCTCCCAGGAATTTGAACCAAGAGCTGCAGTCATTGCAAACTGTTAAGAAACAGCTTTCCAAATGTCACTTATATTTGAGCCTCTAACATAATCTAGGACATCTGTGGTTTCAAAGTTATTCTGCTTAGGACAATAATAAGGACTGTTCTTAAGTCGAGCGAGTATGCTTTTTTTCCATGCCTAAAAATGTAATTAGGGAAACAAGATATATTCAAATTTATATTTCTGAAGGAACTTGTTTAGTCACGATGTTACTAGTCTTGCAGCATCCTTCATCTTGCTTTGTACTAGCAATGACTTTGTGCTTGCCCATGTGCAATGTGCAGTGAAGTATGACCCATTCCTGCCAAATCTTGTGGCTTAATGTGATGAAAAAAGCTATAGAGACCAACTGCTGAAGACCAACCCAGCAGGAGTGTTGGATATCGCACGTGCTGAAATGATGATGTAGCCATTTCTGGTTTTGTTGACTTACTGTCAGTAAGAAAAAGAAGGAGAAAGAGTAATATCTCTCCATAGCAAGTGACTTCATTTAATAAATAAATAAATAATAATAATAAAAAAACACAACTTCTGTAATCATTGTGGTTCTTGCTTGACAATTTAGCCTTCTGATCCTTTAATTGCTTTGTGCTTAGGTATGTGTTTCTTAAACTGTTAACTTCCTTGTTGCAATTCACTGAAACTATGGGGAAATATGTGTTCAGACCCCTGGAAGAGGAGGTGGAAAACTCTTTGCTAGAGCCCTTGTATAGTGAGGGACTTAATACCTGTGCAGTCCATAAAAACACACAGATTAAGAGGCTGTCTTCTCCCACCATGTTTCCTGAAAGCACTCAAAATTGGGCAGATTTTGTTGAGGAAAAACAACCCAATGTGATGTTGAGTTGCTATTTCTGTGCAATTATTCTGCAAAGTGTTGAAGTCCACATAAAGATGTAGCGATGTGGCTTGAGTTGGTACCCGAGTTCTTTACAGTATCACCGCATTTACATGAGGGAATCCAAGCTCACTCTTAGGATATTTTTGGTACCCTAGAAATAAGATGCTGTATTGCTGGCATCTGAGCAGAGTTCATAATGCTCATAATACTAAACAGTTTATTGTTTCCTTTCAAGAGGAGTTACTTAATTTTGAAATTCAAGATGTTATACATAGAGCCTAAATATAGACATAAAAACATAACTTAAAGCGCTCATGCTTTTTAAAATTCCAACCTATATGTTTATCTAGCATAATGATACCATGCAAAAATTTATAATGATGCATTATTAAATGTTGAAGTATTCAATTAAAATTTAATCAAATAGATAGTAATTACATTGATATCAGTTACTATTCTCCATAATCTTATTAATTTCTTATTATAACACATGCATTACTTTCAAGTTAGTATTTTACAAAAGTCTGTTTGCATATTTATTATCTCAGTAATTTTGAATGAAACACATGATATCTATATTTCCACTCTATTGGTATCAATGTTTTTTTTTTTAATTGCTGTTAGAACTACACTCACAAGACTCAAATCTGCTGTCGATCAAGGTGACCTGCATGTCCCCCATTCAAAGAGAAATCTCTTGGGCTTGTAAGCATCAGAACAATCATTCCAATGACTTTCTGAAAAGTGGATTTAAGCAGCAATGAAACATCTAAATTTTGATGCGTTTCATGGATTAATTAATCCATGGCTCTTTCAGATTCAAAAATCTAAATTCCAAGCCTGGAAATTGAACATGAAATCTGACAACCTGGCTGTCATAGCACTTCTATGCGTTTTGACACACAGCTATATTTTTAATGCTTATGGAAAGTGTACCTGTACCTCATAAGAAAGCATGAAGGAAACATTCTTAATTAGCACAAATCTAATAAGGTTTTGATGGTCTTGTGCAACTCTCCCTTGAGTCGTGACTTGTGACACTTCATTCAATTGTAAATAGGGCTCTTTCCAAGCCTGAAGTCGCTCGCTCAGGACCTGCTGGCTGAGCTGGTCACTGTGTCCTTCTAAGGCTGCTGACCCTGTGACAGGCCCTTCCATAAGTTTGTGTGTGTCCAGCTGAAGGCACAACCTGAATACACCTGCAATGTGGAAATAATATAGGAATGTTGCGGGGCCCTGCAGAATTTGGTACTCTTGGATTTCATGAGTCATCCCAAGTTTTTCATAAGACCAAAAGTTAAGGGAGGTCAAGGAGAAACAGTCAACAAATGTTAAAAACAAATTCAAAATTTTAAGAATTATGTTGTAGTATGAGAGCTAGGATGACAGAAAAAGGGCAATAAAAGCTTCCATCTTATCTGGGATTTAAAACCGTATACCTAGTGAGTGAGAACTGTAGAACAGAACAGGGTACACTTATCCTAAATTATCGAAGGATCAGGTGAAGTCTTCCTTCTGGTTTAGTTTTTGCTCTGTTTAATCAACTTTTTATTTATTTATCCTCCAAAAAATATATCCATTTCTGAAAGGGAGAAAAAATATATAGAGGAAAAAAACTCCAGCGTTGCAGCTTTTAATTTCATTTTACTCTTACTAATTTCTGTGAGTTCAAAGTAAGGATTTTGTGGCTGCTCTAATGCTGGCAATGAACCAAACTGATTTTCCAATTTTTAGCTGTAAGAAGTCCTTTTAGAGAAGAGCACTTTAACTTTGCTCTTTCCTATTTACTTGTTGACACTAGGAATAGAAAAAGAGAAAGGTTATA